TTTTGCAACGAACGGGCACCACAAGTTCGCGTGTGTGTGTGTGTGTGTTTGTCCTGCGCCGCCTTGAAGCGGTCATGAACACTTGAGCCACATTTCGGTAGTTGCACAACAATAAAGGGTCCGTATTGAAACAACGCTTCTTCTCCTTCTTCCTCCTGCTCCTCCTCCCTCCCGCTCCAGGCTCACGCCCCTCTCCATCCGTAATTATTTTCGCCCGCCTATATCGCATCCTGTTCGTTTGCTATGTTTGTTCTGGATCCGGTTCTTTTCTGGTCGTTGCCGTCCCCCTCCCCCGGCTTTGGGCATGCTGCTCCTCCACCTCATCCTGTTCCTCCTCCGCCTTTATCCGCCCTTTCCTCCTCGCCCTCCAAAGTCCCCCCTTTCTTGCTCGTGCAGCAGGCGATGGGCCAAACTCTCCAACTGCCATTCGGGGATGCCTGTCCTCTCTGCCACACGAATCTGCGGATAGAACACGGCCCAGCGCAGTGGGATGGGATCGGTGGAAGAAAAGGGGGCGGACATCAGGCATGGCGCGGTCACACCTACCGTTTCCCATCCCTCGTCTTCACCCCTCTCGAAGGTCCACCCCCCTGGACCGTTCCAAGGGAGGGGAACCGAGCCCGGGTGACGAGATGGCTCCTGGAGGCCAGAACAAATTCGAACTTCGGTCATCCGTCCCTTGAGGGATGCATAAACGCCCCCACCCTGGGTTACAAGTGCGTGGTCCGTAAACCTCCTGAGACTCCCAAAATTCAGGGAGCCGCAAGGACGCCGCGCGACACGCGCGATATGCATGGTTTACCCTGCCAGCCCACGGAAGGTTCAGCGCACAGCGCCTCGTAAACCAGGGTAGGGGCGTTTTTTACGCCCTTGAGTCCCAACCCTCACACCTGAAGGGGCCCCAGGACACACAAATAAATACACACAAATTACCCCAGTGCGACCCTACCTAGATGTTGGAACCCCTACGAAAGCAGCATTAGTTGCTATGCTATGCTGTGCTATGCTATGCTATGCTGCGCTGTGCTAAGCTGTGTTGTGCTGTGCTGCGCTATGCTATGCTATGCTATGCGATGCTATGCTATGCTGCGCTATGCTATGCTATGATGGGCTACGATATGATATGATGTGCTGCGCTATGCTATGCTACGCTATGCTATGCTATGCTGTGTTATGCTATGCTAAAGCTCAGCGAAGCTAAGATGAAGGTAAACTAAGCTAAGACAAACCTGGGCTAAGATGAAGCTAAGCTAAGCTAAGCTAAGATGACATAAGCTAAGCTAAGATGAGATAAGCAACGCTAAGCTAAGGGGACGTAACTGGGGGAACCGCGGGGCGGATCCTGGGGGAACCGCCCGGGGCGATTTACACTGCCCTTTCCCTTTAAGATAGAGAGTAAGAACCCTTCTAGGCAGAGCCTAGGTAGGGAATAAAAGGATTCCCCACATTTTAGCATTTTTTCTGGGTTTTCGTCTTCCCCCGCACTCGCCATATTTTCCTATATTTTCCTGGGACTCGACGATTGATTGTGTCTGTGTGTTCTTTCTCGTCCTGAACACCTCTCGTCGCGTCATTGCCTCCTCGCGCCTCAGCTGGGCGCTGAGCAGAGGGGCGAAAGCTTCCCCTTCGCTGGCGCGGCCAGGGGCCGGCCCTGCCCGGCACGGCGAGACCGCACATTCGGGAGCGGCCAAGAGGGGTGTGTCCAAGAGGGGGGGGTGCCCCGCTGGACCGGCGGCATGTGCGCGGCCCAGCGGGGCCAGGAACGTAATGAAATAAGAAGAGGCGCCATGAAATCTGGGAAGATATCATGGCCCCCGCCATGATACTCACCCCCCCTAGTCATCACCCCCCTCTTTTCCGCCCCCGACACATGCGCACAGAGAAGGCAAGAGCACACCGGGACCTGGAACAGTGCCTTCGAGGGTGCCAAGAGACCGGCAAGAGGAAGATCGTACAACCCCCCATCCACGAAATCCTCGTTGCCTCCCCTCTCCTCCCGCGGATCTCCCCGTCCAGCTGCGGGCGGCGGGCTCCATGAAGTGTCTCCGCAGCTGGTCAGGGAGGAACACCGCATCGGGATCCATCTGCGGCGGACGAGCAAGAGAATGAACAAACATCCAAGACTTCAACTCTGAATCCCGCAATTTTCTACCCCTGATTTTTCAACAAAATTCGGACGATCGGAATTCGCAATCCCGGATTAAACGGCATACGCATAAACTTTCGGCGCTCCGCGCCGATACCATGGATCTGCACTGGACCCCCCTCCCTGGCGCGCGGAGAGCGCCAGGGGTGGCACCAGAGGCGCCGGCAAGGAGGCCCAGCGCAGATGCAAGAAATCCGCGCGGAGCGCGGAAAGTTTAGGTTTATGCATTCTTTCGTATACGAAACAAAAGGCCCACCACGGTTGCGTCGCTGTTTGAAACTATGTGGTGTCGTTGCTATCGTCGTTTCGGTATCGTCGTGGACTCTAAACAGCGAGGGAAGGAGCGAGGGAGGTAAATGAGGAAGGATGGACCCGCCCCCCACCAGAGCATTCGCCCCGCCATCTCCAGACAAAGCCAGGACGAAGAGGAAAACGGGTGAGGACGTTGCTGCCTTCTGCAAGAGCGTTCCGGGACGCTCCGGGAACGTCCCGGAACGCTCGTGAACGGATTCATCTTCGTGCCAGCCCGTCCAGCCTCTTCTCCCTTCTCTACACAGGCCGCCTGGGCTTTGGCACGCCTCCCGGATCTCTGGCCTTCGCTTTTAGCGTTTGCGGGATTGGGGGTTTCGACGCCGCTGGTGAATGGTGGCCGCACTGCCGAAAAAGATCTGGCCCGCCATCGCGACCCCTCCCCGGCCCTGACTGACGCCCCGCGACTGCCGACCGCAACCTGCCGACGACCGCCCCCGCCGCCAACCCCTTCTGGTGCCTGCCTGCTCGCTGCTGTCCCCCATCCCTTCTCCTTGTCCGCGCCTGCTCGCTGTGATTTTCCTCCTCCTCCTCCTCCTCCTCCTCCTCCTCCTCCTACTCCTCCTTTGCCTCCTGCTTCCTCATTCTCCTCGTCTTCCTCCTCGTCTTCCTCCTCCTCCTCCTCCTCCTCCTCTTCCTCCTCCTCCCTCCTCCCTCCTCCTTCATCCTTCTTCCCTCCTCCCTCCTCCTTACTCCTCCCCCCCTCCTCTGTCTCCTCATGCTTCCCCCTCCTCTCCTCCTCCTCCCCTCCTCCTCCTCCTCCTCCTCCTCCTCCGTTTTCTCCTCCCACTCCCTCCTCCTCTCTTCTCCTCCTCTTCTTCCCTCCTCCTCCTCTCTTCTTATTATTCTTCATTCATGTTATTATTATTATTCGTATGCTCTGCTTCTGCTTCTGCTTCTTCCTCCTCTTATTATTATTCTTATTATTCGTCGTCTTCTTCTTCTCCTCTCCTCCTCTCGTCCCCCTCCTTATCCTCCTTCTCCTCATTCTCACTCTCTCCTCCTCCTCCTTTTCTCCTTCCTCCTTTTCCTCCTCCTCCTCCTCCTCCTCCTTACCCTCCCTCTGCTCCTCCTCCTCCTCCTCGTCCTCGCCTCGTCCTCGCCTCGTCCTCGTCCTCGTCTCGTCCTCGTCCTCGTCCTCATCTCGTCCTCGTCCTCGTCCTCGTCCTCCCTCCTCCCTCGTCCTTCCTACTTTTTCCCTCCTCCCTCCTCCCCGCTCCCTCCTCCCTTCTCTTCCTCATCCTTCTCCTCTTTCTCGTCCTCTGCTCCTCTCTGCTCCTCCTGCTCCTCCTCCTCCTCCTCCCCTCCTTCCACTTCCTCCGTTTCTCGTCTCCTCCCCTTTGTCCTCCTCCTCTCCTCCTCCCCTCCTACTCCATGTCCTGCTCCTTATCCTGTTCCTTCTCCTGTTCCTCTCCGCCTCCCCCCTCCTCTCCTCCTGCTCCTCCCTCCCCCTCCTCCCTCTCCTCCTCCCTCCGCCCCTCCTCCTCCCTCCTCCCCCTCCTCCTCCTCCCTCCTCTCCTCCTCCTCCTCCTCCTCCTCTCTCCTCCTCCCCCTCTCCTCTCCTCCTCTCCTCCTCCTCCTCTCCTCCTCCTCCCTCCTCCTCCTCCCCTCGCTCCTCCTCCCCCTCCTCCTCCCTCCCTGCTCGCATCCTCTCCTCCTCCTCCTCCTCCTCCTCCTCCTCCTCCTCCTCCTCCTCCTCTGCCTCCTCCTTCCTCCCTCCACCTCCGACATCATCCCACAGCGAACCGAAACATCTAAACAGGCTGGCTGAAAAGTTCCTGACCAGGCTGAAAAGCTGCACGCACTCAAGGATGCACAACCAGAGAGAGAGAGAGAGAGAGGTCGGGGACCAGAGACGGAGAAGAGACCAGGCACGACCCAGCGCCTGCTGCTCGTCCTCGTCCTCGTCTTCGCCCTCGCCCTCCTCGCCCCCGCTTGTGTTCCTCGTCTCCACGCCTCCAGTCCGCTGAAAGTTCGAAGTGCGGGCGGCCGAAGCGTGGCCGGCAGGCCCCGCGAGCCGGGGATCGAAGCTCGGAGCATGGGCTCCAGGGGTCAGGGGGCGAGAGCACCAAGGTGCCACTCGTGAGAGCAAGAACGAGCCACTACCACCAGGACTCCATAGAATCGGCGGTGGACAAACATCCCTTGAGTAAACCTCCGCTTAGCGAAAACGGCCTGGGCGCGACGCCCTCTCTCGAACCGAAAACGGCCAATTCCTTAATCGACGTGTCAGGGTAGGAGGTCTATCCACCTCCGATAGAGCCCCGTTCCGATAGACTTCCCCCCCCGACCTGGTGACACTCCGCTCCGTGCACTTGATGGGGGCGCGCCCGGAACGGGGTGCCACCTCAGATCGGGGAGGGGGAGGGGCCAGCCCCCCCCAGCGGCTGGTGTTTTCTTGTCCTCTGGTGAGCCACAGCTCCGCCAGGTCTCCCTTCTGGTAAGAGGCCATCCTCCTCGTCCGCTTCCTCCAACTCTTCCCCCTCTATTGCTCCGTCCCCTCTTTCTCCCCCACGTGTTTCCACAAGGGTTTCTACAACGGCTGGGGACCACGTGTTTCAGCAGCTTGGCCAAGCCAATCGACGAACCGTCCGCAGCAAAAATCTGGTCTCCGGCATGAGGGGTCGAGAGGCCCACGTCACGAGCAGAAGCGGCGACGAGGCTCGGGCACGCGGCTGCGTCCACCTTTTCATATCTTGATATCGTTCGCGCGCGGGCTGTGCTCCGCATGGCAAGTCCAGGGGGGAAAACGCGCGGCGCACATCGAACTGTATACGGGTGACTATACACCACCAACCCTGGCTGGGTCCCTCCTAGGCCATGGACCCGTGCACAACGTCCTCGCGGCCTGGGCCAACGAACGTCTGTGCACCAATACAGGGCCCAAGATGAACCTGGCAAAAGTTGGTGGCTGGTCAAGATACACAATATGGCACGACGGTTTTGATACCGCGCGCCGCTGGCTGGCCCTCATCCGAGAGAAAACTGTGGCAACTCTACACGCCTGGAAGCACGCCGTTTGCGCACGACGGCAACGGTCACAGTCACTAGGACCGCAGCGAACACGAGGAGCTCCAGGCTGCCTGCGAGCGGGGATACCTTGGTGGTGGCCTGGGTGGTGGCCTGTCCGAGCGCCGTTGGCTTTGCCAGAATGGTGGCCGGCGGGCCGCGCGAATGGCAGCCACCGTCTACGGCACACGTAGCACCCGTGCACACGCATGCGTGGGTATCCTGGTCACATTGCGCTCCACGAGTCACATCGCACCACAAAAATTGGCAAGTGCCTCCTGTGTTCTTCTCGCACGTTGTCAGGGGGGGCTTCGGCGGAACGTCCACGTCCTCTGGAGCACAAGCCTTCTGCTTCAAGTACTTATGGTACGTGGCATTCTGTAGCTTATCTTTGGATTCCCATGCCGCGTCAAACAAATTCGAGTCATCCGGCGCTGCTCGCCACGCAGCGATCGTCAAATTGTAAGAAATGATCGCGTCATGCTCAAGTCCCTCAGCTTCTTGGAGACCATTTTTACAGTCATCGTCGTCCTTGAGCATCTTCTCAATCTCGCCGTACTCCTTCTGCGTCGCTTTCTCCCTCTCGTGCAGAGATGCGCTGTGGGAGCGCATAGACTCCACGACGCTCGCCTGCTTTCCCAAACTTCGGTTCAACTTCTGGAGGCCGAGCAATATCCGCATCCGTGCTGTACAGCACTTAGTGTGCGTGCATGTGTGTGCGTGTTTTTTGTTGTGTGTGTGTGTCTCGGACCTCCTGTCTTTGCGTACCCGTTCCGCCGCTTCAAAGTAGCGAAGTCCCCCAGCCCCGGTGCATCGAGACCAGCATGCGCCCGCCTCTTTGCCCCCAAGCCCCTCGGGTCCTCGGCCGTCCGCGCGCAGCATGGCGACAACAGCACGGACTCCTGATGCCCTTTCGTACAGCGAAGCCAGGACCAGGGCAACATCGGGCAAAGATAAAATCGGGGAACTTCGGGGTCAGCAGGAAACCCGGGTCAATCAGACCCGGGTCAGCAAGAAACCAACAAACTGCAATGCAAGAACAACAAAAACTGCAACGCAAGGCTTCGCAAACCCGGGTCAGCCAATATGCGCGGCCGCATCGCGTCCACTAGCGGCTCGCTAACCTGTGTCAGCCAAAGCGGGTCTTCGCAGGATCCTGCAAGATCCGGTGCTCTGGCTGACCACCGTTTGCATTGACCCCCGTCTTAAGGCTCCCGAGAGCTCTGAGATCTGGAGGTTCCGGGGGGGAGGTATCCGGCGCCGCGGCCGCTCCAGGACGCCCTGGAAGGCTCTGCGAGCGACCAGGGACGTCCTGGAAAGATCCCTCTCGGTCCTAGCCCGCCCGGCACCTTCCAACTCGCATCCCTCCTGCTGCCATGCCCGCAACGTGGGTGGCATCAGCGGGGAGGACGCCCGACAGCTGATGATGCTGTTGGCGTAGACGCAAACGCTCCCCTCCCAACAACATGTCACAAGAGACCACCCCTGACCGGATGAAACGATACCCTACGCCTGTTTGTTGTTGCTTTTGTTGTTGATGTTGATGATGTTGTTGTTATTGTTATTGTTGTTGTTTCGATTGCTCATGTGCGTATATGTATATGTAGATATGTCCTCTGCTAACTACATCTGCGCCCTGCTACCTCTCTCTCCCTCTCTCTCTATCTCATCTCTCTCTGTATTTCTTTCCTTCCGAACTTTGAAACACATAACATACCTTCTCGCTGTCTCTGTCTCTCTCTCTCTCTTTCTATCTCTCTCTCTCTCTCGTTATATCTCTCCCTCGCTCTCGCTCTTTATGCTTATGTTTGTCTCTCTCTCTCTCTCTTTTTCCCCAACCATCCTGTGGTGTTGGGTCCTCGCTTTGAAGAGAAGATCCCCTGCGTTCCCTCCTTCCCTCCCTCCTTCCTCTCCTCCCTCCTCCCTGCGATTCACCCACCCACCCAGTGCAGCGCTTCGTGGCCCCATAAGGAGCTCCACCGAAGGCCCCAGTGCGACCGCCAGCAGGCGTCACCCACACCCATTTCGGCACACCCCTCACACGCTTCGTGGCTCCATAGGGGAGCTCCACCGAAGGCCCCAGTGCCACTGCCCGCATGCGTCACCCACACCCATTTCGTCACACCCTTCACACGCTTCGTGGCCCCATACGGAGCTCCACCGAAGGCCCCAGTGCCACCGCACCGCCCCCATGCGTCACCTACACCCAATTCGGCACACCCCTCACATGTTTCGTGGCCTCGTGAGAAGCTCCACCGAAGGCCCCAGTGCCACTGCCCGCATGCGTCACCCACACTCATTTCGGCACACCCCTCACACGTTTCGTGGCCCCATACGGAGCTCTAACGAAGGCCCTGGTGCCACCGCCCGCATGCGTCACCTATGCCCATTCCGGCACATCCCTCACGCGTTTCGTGGCCCCATTGGGAGCTCCACCGACGGCCGCAGTGCCACCGCCCGCATGCGTCACCCACACCCATTGTGGCACACCCCTCACGCGCTGCGTGGCCCCATAGGGAGCTCCACCGACGGCCCCAGTGGCTGCATTCGCATGCGGCCACCGCACCTATTTCGGCACACTTCTCACGCGATTCGTGGCCCCATGGGGAATTCCACCGACGGCCCCAGTGGCTACTTTTGCATGCGCCCACCGGATAATTTTTGGCACACCCCTCACACGTTTCGTGGCCCTATAGGGAGCTCCTCCGAATGGGGTGCATGCAATGACGGTATTCACAACTGCATATGGTTGGGTTTTTCGCCAACCGATATATATATATATATATCCATCCGTCTCTCTGCTCAATTCTGGTCTGCTCTGTACTCGGTGTTCTGTTCTACCTAGCCTATACGCTATACCATCTACTCTCTCATTCCGACCACGGTCGCAAATACTCTCTCTCTCTCGTACTCTCTCTACTCCGTCTCTCCTTCTCTGTGTATTTATGTTACCGCGCTGTTTACTTGATATACCCTCTCGAATCGCACTAACCGTTAGTATCTAATCCAACATATTCTCACGATCATCTCTCCGTAGCATGCTCTGTACTCTCTTGTGTGTACTGTGCTCTCAAATCTCTCCTATATACTCCCTCATTCTGATCGTGGTTACGAGGCCCCATGCTCTCAGTTCGCCCGAACCAAAAAGAACTTGACGCCCGAATTAGAAGGGAGAACTGCGGTCCAGGGTAACTCCAATTTGGGCTCCCGAGGCGCGAATCTGTAAGTGCCTCTGGCTGCCCCCAGCCCTGATGATTCGGGAGGGTTGGGCGCCGTAATTATCCAGGATTACTGCTGTCCGGGATACCTCCAATTTGGGCCCCCGAGGCGCGAGTCTGTTGCTGCCCCAGACTGCCTCCGACCTAGATTCAGGTCGGGCCTGTCCCCCTACAGGGGGATTCTGGACGAACAATAAAACATAGCAAAAGAATGCCCAACAAATGCTGAAAAAGTAATGAAAACAAATCGTCCCCATACCATTTTCTATTTTTTCCATTGCTGGATACTCCTCCTGTAGAGGGACAGGCCCGACTTAACGCTGCCCCAGACTGCCCCCAAGCTAGAAGATTCGGAACTCTGCACGACGCCCCATCCTGGCACAAAGGGCCCCGGGAGCTGACCGCTCCGCGACATCGCACCGGCACCTGGAAGCAGGAAGCGCGGGAACCTGGCCGCCGACCGAACTCGGCGGGGAACCCTCGCCAAATCCTTCGGTATCTGCTACCCCTTCAATGCCAACATTAGGTCGGGCTTGTCCCCCTACAGGCGGATAAAACACATATAGGAAAATCGTCTCCCCAACTATTTTTTGACTAGTTTTGAATGTTCCTCCTGTAGAGGGACGTGCCCGACTTCATGCTAACACTGATTGGGGAACCACGTCCGCCTCGAGCCAGCAGCGAGCGAACCCTGCCCAGAAGCAAGAACTGCTGCCAGTCCTCGATCGCGCTGGATGTTGTCCCAACTTCTGGGGAAATCGGGGATCTGCTGACCCGGGTCAATCCAAACCCAGGTCAGTCAGGCTTTGCAGAATCCTACAACATCCTGCGAGATCCTGCACCCAAACCCGGGTCAATGCGAAGAATCCTGTAAGATCCTGTAGAATCCTGCGCCCAAGCCCGGTCAATGCGACCCTGGCCCTGCAGGATCCTGCAAAATCGGGCGCCCTGGCTGACCCCCGTTTGCATTGACCCCCGTCTGAAGGCTCCCGAAGAAACCAAAAGTTGCCAATACCGCTACTCCCCGGAGCTCTACTGGGGTGCGTTCTGGCTGAAACTTTGAGGCGAATTCAGCCGTGGAGGCGGGGGTCTTCCAGGAGGCCAGAATAGGAGGAAACGAGGCAAGGGTAATTTTAGCGGTACCTCTTCCTTCTCAAAATGTTCGGCCCATCCGATCCTTTCCCCCGATCAAAATTACACTAGAGAAAAACCCCAATCAATGGATGGTTTTCGCTGAAGAGATCGACCGGGAACCCGGGAGGCCGGGAACCCCAAACCCATCAAAAATCTGCCCGGAACCAATAACCAGGAACCCGGGAACCCAGAACTGGGAACCCGGGAACCCAGCCTGCCACCAACATCGGCGAGAAACTTTCGCCAAATCTTTCAACCTCCGCTAGGACCCCTTCAGTGCAAGCACTGATTGGTGAAGAAAGTGCATTGGCGGGCGCAGAAACCCGAGACCCAGTGGATTTGGATAACAAGTTGGCCTTTAGCGAAATCAGATTAAACCCATGTCCACTGCGTCTCGGCTTTCTGGCATCCCTTCCCCAAAAACATCCAAGACGTAATTAGTGGATATGGATACACATCATGTCTGCAAGCAAAGTACGGTTGGCGTTGGAAAAATAGCGTGCAACATCGGTCTCTGAGAAACACGCTCTTTCTGTGAGGCGATCCCCCCGCGAGGTCCCCTTCTGTGCGCGCTATCTCCCATGCCAAGACTTCTTCGGTGCACGCTATCCCCTAGGCCCCTAGGTGGGGATAGGGCCGGCGGCGCAACATCGCACGCCATCTTTCCAACGCCACTCGTCAAGTGTGGCGGCGGAATTGCGCGGCAGCGCAGCTGGATAGGGGCTGCTTGCTCTCGCATCTTCTCGAGCGCCTCAGAGGCAGACTTGAATTCGGCGTCGGCGTCGGCGAAAGCCTCCTTCGCCTTCTGCTGCGCGGCCTCCAGGCCTCTCACCTTCGCGAGCGCCTCGCTCAAGGCCGTGGCCTTCTGGGGGAGGTGCAAATCGGAGATCTTCTGACCCGGGTCAATCCAATCCCGGGTCCGCCAAGCCTTGCAAGATCCTGCAGGATACTGCGCCCAAGCCCGGGTCAGTGCGCCCCTGGCTCTGCAGGATCCTGAAAGGTCCGGTGCTCTGACTGACCCCCGTTTGCATTGACTCCCGTCTCTTGAACCCCAAGCAAAAATGAGCGGACGAACACCGTGTATTCGAGGTCACCGCTCGGTTTTGGGACTCGGGTCGTGCTCCGACGACGTCTCGGGCGACTAACGGCCTCCGAGGTCCCAAACACTAGCCTGGCGAAAGACCCAAACATATGCAGTGTGAGTACCCTCGTTGTTTGCACCGCACTCGGAGGAGCTCCCTATGGGGCCACGAAACCTGTGAGGGGTGTGCAAAAAAATGAGAGGTGGGCGCATGCGAAGGCAGCCACTGGGGCCGTCGGTGGAGCTCCCTATGGGGCCGCGAAACGTGGGAGGGGTGTGCCGAAATGGGTGCGGTAGGCGCATGTGAAGGCAGCCACTGGGGCCGTCGGTGGAGCTCCCCATGGGGCCGCGAAACGTGGGAGGGGTGTGCCGAAATGGAAGCGGTGGGCGCATGCGAACGCAGCCATTGGCGCCTTCGGTGGAGCTCCCTATGGGGCCACGAAGCGTGTGAGGGGTGTGCCGAAGTGGGCGTGGGTGACGCATGCGGGCGGTGGCACTGGGGCCTTCGGTGGAGCTCCCTCTGTGGCCGCGAAACGTGGGAGGGGTGTGCCGACATGGGTGTGGGTGACGCATGCGGGCAGTGGTACTGGGGCCTTCGGTGGAGCTTCCCATGGGGCCACGAAGCGTGTTAGGGGTGTGCCGAAATGTGTGTGTGTGTGTGTGTGGCGCATGTTGGCGGTGTCACTGGGGCCTTCGGCGGAGCTCCATATGTGGCCACGAAGCGTGTGAGGGATGTGCCAAGGCGAGGGGGGGGAACGGGAGGGGGGGAGGCGGAGGAGGAAGGAGGAGTGAGTCGCGGGGCGCTGTCTCGTTAAAACGAAGACCCAACACCACAAAATGGTTGAGAGAAATCATGTGGTGACGGTGACGGACCGCGCGGTGGTCTTTTGGGAGTTCAGGCTCACCGCACGGTCTGTCACCGCACGTTTTTGAACCCCCGAGCAATATGTCAGCGATGCGGGGCGGTCGCAAGTCCGATTTCCTATCATGTGCAGTTCGATCCTCCGACCCTGTCTATTTCAGACCCATTCGGGAGACCTGCCTCTAGAGTCTCTAGAGATAACAAGGCCCTGGGTTTGTGTATATATATATATATATTTATACACACCTATAAATACACACATACTATCACACATAACTGCGCATATCTCGATTTGTAGGTGTGTATATATATGCCGATACACATATATGTACACGTGTATGCACGTTATGTATGTGCACGTGGTTTTCTCTCTATACATATATAGATAAACATCTATAAATGTGTGTGCACTTATGTATGCACAAACTGTTACCGCGCCATGTAATGCTGAAGAGCCCCCATATGGTCAGAGGTCCCAATAGTGCCCCAAGACGATCAATGATGGCTCCGAGTCGGCCCCAGAGAACGGCTTCCAGCGCTTCAAGACGACCCAAGAGGCCCCCAACGGCCCAAGGGACCCCAAGACGACCAAGGAGGCCCCAAAGACGGCCCATGAGGCACCCAAAAAGGCCTCAAGGGAGGCCCAAGAGGGTGAAAGTGAAGTGGCCTTGGGAGCCTGCCCCCCCAAACATTACCCCAATACTCCCATTGTACCCCCTAGGAGCTCCCAAAATTACCCCCCAAAAGCCCTGGAAGAGGCTTCCCAGGGGCCACCGGGAGGCACCCCAAGAGACCCCAACAGACATTTGAGAGACCTCAGGCACACAGTCCAAGCATGGTAGCGGGATGGGACGAAGGCAACTATACATGTACCTTTACATGTCCACATACATACACACGCAGATGAACATAGCCATAAACCTAAACATCGATATATCCGTATATGTGTGTGAACACATATCCAGCCCTACATGCACGTAGATCTGAGAAAACGCGTTTCACGGGCGCTTGCCTTGGGAACATTCGGCGGCGCGTTTCCAACCGGGGGGTGGGCCCCCCCCCCAAACACTCGGCGCCGTCGATCAAAACCAAGGGGACTTCCCTCCCCCCCAAACCCCCCCCCTCCCGAACAGCCCCCCCCTGCCAGGGGGGGGGGGGGGTTCAAAACCCCCCCCCATCGGCGCCGGCGCTGGCGCTGGCGGCGGCCAGCAGCGCCGGCGCTGGCGCCGGCAATGGCGGGGACGCAGCGACGATTAATCACCACCACCACCACTACCACCACCACTACCACCACGACAGCCTCAACCCACCACCACCACCACCACCACCACCACCACAACCACAACCACCACCACCACCACAACCACCACCACCACAACTCACCATCACCACCACAAAAACCCACCACCACTACCACCACCACAATCTACAACACCACCACCAACATCGCCACAACCACCAGCCACCAGCAGCACAACCCACCGCCACCACCACAAACCACCACACCACCACCAACACCACCACCGCCACTACCACTACCACCAGCACAACCTCCATAAACCACCGCCACCGCCAGAACCCACCAACACAACCACCACCACAAACCACCACCACCACACCACCACAACCACCACCACCACAACTCACCATCACCACCACCACCACCACCACAAAAACTCACCACCACTACCACCACCACGACAATCTACCACACCACCACCACCACCGCCACAACCACCACCACTACCAGCAGCACAACCCACCAGAACCACCACAAACCACCACCTCACCACCACCGCCACCGCCACCGCCACCACCACGACCACCACTACCACCTCCACAAAACCACCGCGACCACCACCACCACACCACCAGCACCACACCACACCACCACACACCACCACCACCACCACCACGACACACCACCACCACCACCACCACCACAAACCACCACACCACCACACCAGACCACCACCACCATCACCACACCACCACCACACACACCACACCACCACAACAAACCACCACTCCACCACCACCACAACCACCACCACCGCCACCACCACCACCATAACCCACCACCACCACCACCACCACCACCACCACCACCGTCGTCCTCGTCGACGATCCCCGCCGCCGCCGCCCGCCGCCGCAGGCGACGGCGCTGGCCCAGAAAAAGGAAATCGTCGTCTCCGCTGCCGCCGCCAGCCGCCGTCGACTCAAGCGCCGGCCCGAGGGGTTCGAACCCCCCCCCGTCACGGGGGGGGGGTCCGAACCCTCCTCCCTCCATCCAGGGGGGTGGGTGGGCCGGTTCCCCACCCCCCTCCAAGCGACCACAGAACGCGCTCTTTCATACATCTACATACATATATATTGTTTCACATACCTCTGCATGTACATTTACACATACTCATACGCAAATACACATAATCAAAAACCCATATTCATGTTTACACATACACCAAGGCATACATGATTATACATACAGAAACTTATACGCACACATCTAACTATTGGTATATTTGTACACACGTAGTTCCACATGTTGATAATCAAGACGTCGACGAACTAATCCAATGCTTCTGGTGGGTCCGTCCTGTGAAACTTGTCGGGACGTCGTGACGCCTTCCGTGGGGACTGTTGGGTCGTGTTGCGGCCCTACTTAGTCTCGGGCCCCTCTGGGCGGTCCTGCACAAACACAAATGTTTGGGCGGCCTGGAGGCCCTGCTGGGCCGTGTAGGGGCTCGCGCCGGCTTCTCAGAGCCCATCCAATGACCGTCTTGGGCCCATGTCGAGGCGAGACTGTAGGCCCGCGAGCCGCCTTGGAGGCCTGGAAGACCGAGAAGGCGAGTGCCCCGAGATCGTACAACAACACTTGCACAAACAAATGCTGCTTGCCTCTTCGGGACATTTTTTCTCGCGGGAAAACGCGTCTCGATAGGCACGATTGCTTTGCAGTGACGGCACTAAGTCATAACAGGCACTTCGTGGGAGGCGCAACCACGTAGCAGCTATGTAGAACCCCCTGACTGTTGGGAGGCACCCATCTACCTCTGGGAGTCCTGGGAGCCCTCGGATGTATAGTCTCACGAGTAGGAGGGCAACAAGATTACGACGCACCGTGAAAAGGCCAATTATCTTAAAAGGGGCCCAGGGACACACACATCAATAGACACAAATCCCAGGAACACCTGGATGTTCAACTATTTTCTTTGTTTTCGTCTTCCCCCCACCTCCCGTATTTTCCTGTCTTCTTCAGGGTCGACGATGCGTTGTGTCTGTGTTTTCCCCTCCTGATATCTTGCTTCTTCGGGGCATCTTGGGGGCCCCTTTGGCCCGTTGTGGTCGTCTTGGGGGTCACCTTGGGGCTTCTTCGGGACCTTCTTGGGCCGCCCCTGGGCGCCCGCAACTTAGGCTCTCTGGCTGCGCCTTGAGTCCGTACGGATCAGCTTTCCGCAACCAGGGGAATCGTTTGTGTGAGTACATCCATATGAGATGCTCGCCTCTCTTCTGAGGATCCTGGGGGTCACCTGAGGTCCCCTCTAAAAAAACCGTCATTCTCCTAAAAACCTAAACAATCCTCTAAAAAAACCGTCATCCTCCTCTAAAAAAACCGTCATACTCCTAAAAAAACCGTCATCCTCTAAAAAAACGTCGCAATCCCCGTCATCCTCCCAAAAAACCTTACCTACGAATGCCTGGTCGGGACCTCGCTCCCCTCCGAGCCTCTTGCGTTCCCTGAGCAGGAGCGTTGGATCCCCTCCTAGCCTGAAGGCTATGGTGTGGCGGGGTCGGGATGAACTCTGTAAGAACGGTTTTTTGAAGGCAGATCTGCCTTCAAAAGAACGGTTTTTTGAAGGCAGATCTGCCTTCAAAAAATCTGTAAGAACGGTTTTTTGAAGGCAAATCTGCCTTCAAAAAACCGTTCTTACAGAGTAGACCAGTCTTTCCTCCTTGCAGGAAGAGGGTGGATAACCAAGGGGTTGGCTAGGAACTGGTTTGCGGTTCCCCCTTGCGATGCACAGCCAGGTGGGTAGGTGAAGCCGCGGCGTCGGCTTAAGGTCAGGGGTGAACGGTGCAGTGTCACAGTGTCACAATTCCAAGCTGTATGGCGTCAGGTCGATAGAATTAGCACCGCGCACGTCTGCAGGACCGACTTGCTCCTGGCCCCGCGGCCCACTGAAGTGCCCCGCGCCTAAGGCGCAATACTAGATTGCTCCAGCAGCATCGGCAACTCACCAATTCACCGAGACATGCGACAAGGGGCGACATCTGGTCTTATGCTGGTTTCATCTGAGCTGGTATGTGGTTTCAGAACGGCTTTATCTTCTTGCATGCGTTTCCACATTGGTTTCATCTGGTATCATCCGGTTCCATTTGGTCCAACATTGCTGTGTACGCCAGTTGTGTCTGCCTGTCTGGCTTACATGAGCAGTCAGACGTGTTCGTAATCCAGGGCTGCAACATCATATGGTGTGTAAAAATTCGAACCGATTGGGCTGTACACGCCAGATAGTTGAGCAGCAACCGAGAAACAACGAAATCAGGTGTCAGCACTTGTGAAGGCTTGAGGAGCTCGGCAAACCCGTCTGACAGTTCGTCGTGCAATGGGCCCGTTCGAAGACTTGTCGAGATATTCAAGCATGATCCCCTGCTGCGGCACTGTTGCAAATAAACAATCTCTTCTTCGCGCGGGCAGGTCAAATAGTTGTGGGTCCATCACGCGGTGCATCGGCACGCGTGCGCTTTCGTGTGACTCATCTGCTGACTTCTGGAGTGGTGGCAGGCTGGTCAGAGTCATCACCATCTATGTCGATATTCATTTTGCACTTGCTCGGTAAGCGGAGGAATGGTGGGCCTCAACGGATGCGAACATATGCAGCGAGTGCGCACAACACAGTTCGTGACCACCCCAGTGAATGTAAACGCGCGCGCCCACAAGTGTTGCACATGAAAATGCCTCAAGATCATGTTAACGTATCTCATATGTTTCATATGCGTGCGAAACTTGCATACGATTGGGAGGAAGGGTGGGGCATAGCCTGGGTTTACGAGGTCAAAGGACGTGGAGTGAGGACGAGCAAGCCAGGATGAGGAGGATGAGGAGGCCACATGTGGAGGCCAAGGAGGCAAGAGGAAGAGGAGTGGGGGGGGGGCAGGAACTTCCTCGACACTGATCGTCCTCCTCTGGCCTCCCTCCTTCTTCCTCGCCCCCTCTACTACTCTCCGACCAGCCATCACTGGAGGAGCCGAGGCTGCTCTGTCGTCTGGCCTTCCTTCTTCCTACTCTTCCATGTCCCAAGCATTCGACGTTGTGATCTCTTCACAGCTTCGACCACTGGAGGTCTCGACCCCTTCCCCGGGCGAGGCTTTTCGTGCAGAGTCTCGTCGGTGATGGTCCCAGGGCCCAGTGAGGGCCTCCAGAAGCAGGAACATGCTGCGGAACACATTCCGTCGTCATTTGTTTCACCACGCGAGGGGTGTACAGTGTGGGGAGGAACCAGGAGCCCCTCTGCCTCCCCGAGGCCCAATGGAGGACCGAAAGCCTCGATCCTCGAACGTCGACCCTCGAGCTTCGAGGGAGGGAGAGGCAGGAGCCCCTCCGCCTTGGCAGTCTTGGTGCCCTCCGCGTGCACCAGTTGCTCCGCCGCGGCCTTGAATTCCGCCGCCTTCGGGAGTCACAACGGCCGCTGGGGCCCAATTCCACGCCCACTCCCCCCCTCGAGGACCTTCCCGAATTCTGGCAGCAGGCGCGGTGACGAGGACGTCGCCGAGCGAGGTCGGGCGCGGGCTTCCCCTGTAGGGCCACGGCTTCGGTCGCAGCGAAGAGCGCCCCCTCGACAGGGGGAGGTGGCCGCAGGAGACGGAGAGGAGGAGGGCCCCCTGCCCCCCCCCCCGCGCGGCGCGAAACAACAGTCGCGGCGGAGCGTGTTCTGTCATTCTGTCCGGCTCGGGGGTCCCCCTGCCGGGCCCCAGGGGGGGCATCGAGAAGCGACCCACGGAGAGCAGTGCTGGTCCGAGCGAAGAGGCGGAGAGCCCTCGCGTGGACCACCGCCGTGCAAACAACTGCTTCGGAGCTGTCGGAACGGGCTTTGAGCGGCATCGCCGTCGGGGGCGCACGCGTTTGGGACATTTCAATCTCGATGTGCCACCGTTGGGTATAATGGGAGGAGCACAACTGGGGCGGGCGATTCAACAAATCCGGGGCGGACGATTAAAACATCGCCGGCATGGTTGCCCCCACACTACGGGAGGGGGTGAGCAGGCAGACAGAGGTCGGACAATCCCGAGCTTTCTGGGTGGCTGGGGGGGGCACAAGGCCGCCAAAAGCTTGCGAACCATACCCTTGAAGCATGAGATGTTTTGACCTTCTCCTCCTCTTCCTCCTCCTTCTTCTCCTCCTGCTCCTCCTCATCCTTCTCCTCCTCCTCCTCCTCCTCCCCCTACTCCCCCTCCTCCCCCCCCCCTCCCCCTCCTCCTCCCTCTGCCCCCCCCCCCCTCCCCCCCTCCTCTCCTCGTTTTTTCCTCCTCCTCCTCCTCCTCCTCCTCCTCCTCCTCCTCCTCCTCCTCCTCCTCCCCCGAAAGAGCCATGGACGGCCAACGTTTTAAGGCAAGTGCGGGAGTGGGTTCAAGTTGTGGAGATCCAACACCGACATCCAGGACCACCTGCGAGGAGGATAGCAGGCAGTGGCGCACCACCTAGGAAGGGTCACCAAGCGAGGGCAGTGGTAGGCTGCTTCTGGGCCGATGGCCGCGCTTCAGCTCAGGCTGGCCCTGCTGGGTTGGGACGGAAGAGAGGCGCACCCCTTGGACCGACCACCGCGGCGACCAGTGGCAGATCAGCAGCAGTGAGAATGCCTGCCTCACTGAGGTCGAGGAAGCCATCAGGGAAGCAGCCGAAGAACGCCTCTGGAGACAACATCGTAAATATCCTGAAGGCAAAGACTGCAGCACGGAGCAGACGCTCGAGCTATCTCAGCCAGTGCCCTTCAACGAAGGAAGCTCGAGCGACACCAGGAGGCGGGCGCTCTGAAGGCAGCAGCGTGCGCGGCCATGTGGTCCAACCAGAAATGCCACGCCGCTGGATATGAGGCTGGGCCCACGCGCACCGGATGCGCCGTGGGTGCAGATGACACGCCATTGCACCGCCTTTATGAGTGCCCAGTCACCAAGACCAATGAGCATCCTTGGACTGAACGCGCGGCTGACCTCGGGGCCCAAGCCTTAGCCTTGGCTGTCCGCGACGACACGATCGAGATGGCATTCTGGGTACGCGGCATCCTCCCCTCCACCACATGTGCCCAATTGGCCCACCGCCTGCATGGGACAATATGATAAACGAATTCTGGACGGTAGGAAGTGATAATATACCGATGTGCCACGGCACCATCATCACTGCAACGGCGTACACTGATGGCTCAGCTACCGCTTCCGGCAAGCCGACGGCGAGAGCGGGAGGGGGGATGGCGCTTGATCTCTTGACCTACCGCTCAACGACAGCGACCCCAGACCACAATGCGGTTTACCTTGGATGTCCCGGAAATTACTGACGGCCCCAAGACCGTCGGCGCAGCAGAAATGGCAACTATATTTACTGGACGATTGGACCTCACCAGAGGACCGCTCATCAACTACAGCGACTCACAGATGGTGGTGGACGCCTGGCGCAGCTTCAATTACATGCGGCACATATGATCACGGGCAAGATGGTGGATGAGGACCAAAAGAGCCATTACCTCCAGAGGCGGCGGCATCCAGGGCGTCTCGCTCCGCAAGTGCTACTCCCACGTGGGCATCACCACCATCGCGCGCACTGGTCAGCCGCTCGCGTGACCAGAGGGAACGAGCTAGCAGACGGCTGCCCGCAGAGGGGGGCAGAGATGGCAGCTAACCTGATAGCACCACAAATGACAGTGCTGGCCGAGAGAAAGAGAGAAACTGCTCAAACGGATGCACAGACGCATTGCAGCAATCACGGCACACGTGGCAACATTGGACCACCCCAAGCTGCGGCGCGACCCATGCGCGGGCATGCGGGGACAGACGTTCGACTGCCGAAAGAAGCTGGACGTCGCCACGGGCCACTGTATGCACAAGCGCTCCCACGGCAAGTGGGTATAACCCAGGGCAGCAATTAAGGAACCCCCCGGGGTTATCGTTAGCACCGCGCCGTAATTAAATAATTATTTGGGGTGGTTTTAGCCGAGCGTTATCTTTAGCACCGCGCAAAACAAAAATAAATTAAATAATTCCAGCGCCATGGCCCTAAGGATTCCTAAGGATTCCTAAGGATGCCTAAGGAAGGTCTGAGGATTCCTAAGGAAGGTCGGAGAATTCCTCAGGAGTCCCTAAGGAAGGTCTGAGAATTCCTACCAATTCCTACCAAGAATTCTCTTACGGAATTCCTAAGGAATTCCTAAGGAAGGTTTGAGAATTCCGACCAATTCCTACCAATTCCTTCGGAAGTCCTACCAATTCCTAAGGGATTCCTAAGGATTACAAAGCCGCAAGGATTCCTAAGGAAAGTCTGAGAATTCCTAAGGAATTCCTAAGGAAGGTCTGAGAATTCTTACCAATTTCTACCAAGAATTCTTAATGAACTCCTGAGGAATTCCTAAGGAAATCCTAAGGAATTGCTAAGGAAGGTCTGAGAATTCCTACCAATTCCTACCAATTCCTAAGGCATTCCTACCAATTCCTGGGAATTCCTAGAAGGTTCCTAAGCATTCTTGAGGTATTCGTAGGTATTGGTACCGTATTTATACTCGTAGGTATTCGTAGGTATTCCTACCTATACGTAGGTATTCGTAGGTATTCGTAGGTATTCGCAAGTATTCCTACCTATTCTGCTAGCTGTTCCCACCTATTCGTAGGTATTCGTAAATATTCCTACCGTATTTCAAACTATCCACACGTTTCCGTAACTTATCCTACATATTCCTGTCTATTCCCAGGAAGTCCTACCTATTCCTACCAATTCCTATTCTGCTCCTGACTCGTGCTACTGCCGCTGCGACGGTGACGCTGATGACGATGATGGCTACGAGGGTGACTGCAAACGGCCTGCGCGGGCGACTGGAACTCCAATCTGAAACGCTGAGTGAGTCCTCGGCTAAACCTGCGCGACGGGAACTGCGGCCGAGAGTGCGCTGAGGCGCACCAGACAAGCTGAGATCGCCTCACTAGTTAGTAAAAGCAATGTTCTTAGAACATAAGTCCGATGTGTTACAACACGACAGTCGCAGCCAGAACTGTTCTAAGAACATTTCGTTAAGACCACAAAAGGTTCTTAGAACATTCTGTGGTGGGCCTACAGGCCAGCCAGGACGCCTCGCCACAGCTTGCCTCTTCGCTACGAGGGTGACTGCAAACGGCCTGCGCGGGCGACTGGAACTCCAATCTGAAACGCTGAGTGAGTCCTCGGCTAAACCTGCGCGACTGGAACTGCGGCCGAGAGTGCGCTGAGGCGCTCCAGACAAGCTGAGATCGCCTCACTAACTGGTAGTAACGCTCACCTGCACATGCCCCTGAGCACACTCATCGTGCTCTTTCTCCACCACGTAGGCGGCCTCCCGTGCCTGATGCAGTACCTCAGGGCGTGGGGGTAGCTGCACGCCACGCAGCCTGAGGAGACGGAGGAGGACAAGGAGGAGGGCAAGGAGGAGCAGGACAAGGAGGAGACGGAGGAGGACAAGGATGAGCAGGAGGAGGAGGACGCAATCAGCCTGTGGCCCACTCGCACTTAGCGCACACCTGCACGGACTGAATGCTCTTCATGTAGTCGACGTACGCCTGACACTCCTCACCATTTACATTCGTAAACTGAGCCTGTGAGAATGCCACGCGAAGGACTGGCTCGGAGAGGCTCCTCAACCACGTCTCAAAGCCTTTCTCGCCCTTATGCTTCTGACCAAGCGCTGCGAGCTCCTCCTGCGCGTGTTTCTTCGCCTCCTCCTCCTTCTGCGCCTCCTTCTGAGGGCCCGCGCCCTCTCCTCCTCCGCCTCCTCGTGCAGCCCCTCCTCCTCCTCCTCCTCCTCCTCCTCCTTCGGCGCTCCCTCCTCCTCCTCCTGCGCCTCCTCCTCCTCCTGCGCCTGCCTCTGCGCCCTCCTCGGGCGCTGCAGCCTTTGCCGGCCCCTGCTTCTGAGGCTCCTCCTCGGCGGGGCCTGCCTCTGCGCCCTTCGCGGGGCCTGCCTCCTCGCCTGGGCCTGCCTCCGCTGCAGCCTTTTCCGGCGCCTGCTTCTGAGGCCCCTCCTCGGCGGGGCACTCAGCCTTTGAAGGTTTCTGCTGACTCGCCGCCTCAAGCTCTGTCTCCAGGATTTTCTGAACGGTGGCCTTCACCTGCTCCTTCAACTCCTGAGACTCCTCCTGTTTCAACCTCCTTCTGATTTCCTTCGGGTCGTCAGGAATGGCATCTGGAAGCGTCCTGCACCACGTGCTGACCAGCGCTGCCTCCTCAGCCCTCCTCCGGAGCTCCTCGGCCTCCCTCTGCTCGGCTTGCTTCCGATCTGTTTTGGCCTGAAGGAGCGCCTGCGCAGCCTGGACCTTGGCCTCCTCAAAAGCTGCTTCCTGAAGCCAGTCTGCTCGCGCCTTCTCTAGCTGCTTCGCGGCGCTGACGCACTTCGTGATGAGGGCCCTCTTCCTGTCCTTAGGCGTCGTGACTGGACCGCCG